ACAATTCAAACAACGTTTATTATATGTTCGAAAAGTTGATTATAGTTTCATTTAATATGTTGATATTGATTAGAATAAATATAGATTTTTATTAGCTACTGAATTTATTTGATTCGTCGATGGTTTACATAAAAAGAAGATTCAAATAGATTTATCGAACTTCTATCGTAATAGATCTGCATATTATTTTGAGTAAGTTAGACTTATTCAGTTCTATATAAAATCAAATATGAAACTCTAATTTATCTTAATGACTGTCTTTGAATTTTTGGTAATACTCTCTCTCTCTATATATATATAGAATTTAAGTGGATATTTTTATGAAATTAATAAATACATCACGTAGATAATTTGATTTTTTCAATTTCAGATATAGTGTTTTGAGAAAATCAATTTCCTTATAGAATCAGAATAATGATAAGTAATCCATCAAATGAAGTCAAAATATCTTCGTCTTCGAAAACTATGGTATCGGCTGCATGTTCACATTTAATTCATGGTATTCGAGAATTAAATTTATTCTCTAATAATCCATTTTGGACATCAACATTAACTCATACTGAACAAATTCATAGTACTCGACTTTTTTTAATATTAACTTCAATATCTCTTTTATCCGTTATTGGTTACGTTAGTTTAACTGTTCATACATATGAAGTAACTCGAAATAAATTTTCCATATCTGATTTCGAACGACTTCAAGCACGTTATCCAACAACATTTAAATCTACATGTACTAAAGTATCAATACCTTATAATAAATTTTTAAATTTATCTGTTAGATTTCATCAAGTTTGCTCAAGTCCATTTATTGGAAGAAAATGGATTTCTTCTTTATATCTCTTCAACGCAACATCTTATAATATTTTGGATTTTCGTACATTTGGTTTTTCTCATTATCGTTCTCTTCGTTTACTATGTCTATTGACACGTCAAGCTATTAATGATAATTATCATGCATTTAATTCTACTAATTTAGTTGCGCTTCTTACTTTTTCACGAGCTCAATTTAATAATTTAGCTGGTGTTCTTATGTCTAATTTTCAAAAAAATCTTTTGGCTAATGAAAAACGAACTGCAAAAGTAACATCATTAATGATTGCACAGAATCGGTTATTGTCAGCTTTACGTACAAATTATTATACGCATTCGAAACCTGGTTCACAATCATACAAAACATACAATGCACATTATTTGGAACGAAATGGAATAGATGGATCATTTTGCGACTGTAGATCAAGAAACAATCAATGCACATATCCAGCCGGTGGGTTTTATAATTGGACGTTACCAGAATTAGGAAAACCAGCTAAAAATAATCCACCACCTCAATTTCAGGTAACCATATTTTCTTTTTTATTATATTTAAAAGAATTATTGTTAGAAGAAGAAAAAATTTATTCAAAGTTTTATAGTAAAACGTTGATTTTTATGCAGAATAAAACGGCATAGAGATACCTATCATAATGATAATATCTGTAAAAAAATGGTCATGGTCAGACATTCTCCAATAAGCTCTACTTATCTTTTTAGATGAATCTTATTCAAAGGTGTTTACACTAGGCTTGTAATGATCTCATAGTGAATTTTACTCTCTATATTGATGTGAAGTCTGAATCATCTTTTTCTTTGTAATATTCCACACCTATATTGATAACTTGTACTAAGATTTGTCCGACGATATTATTTTTGTGTAGTAAAATGTTATCTTAGTCCAGTCAGTTCGTTGAAAAATATGATCTCAATATTCAAGTTACTGAAAAAAGAAACATCACATTCTTACATTTTTTTTTTTTGATAAAAAAGTACTATAGATGATATGGTCTAATCGACTTTGGCAGAAATTGTTGGAATATCTAGAAAAACCTATATGGAAAGGTTTGAAAATGAATTACAATGGCTATGGTCATTCATTCCTATTTGAAAATGTTCCATTCTTATGGTTAGAGTACATTTTATGAGTTACGCAACTAAGTAGTCAATTCGAAAGTATAGTCTATTGCAGAAAATCTCACAACATGCAAGTTACGCAGAACATTCAAGTAGAGATATATAGAACTACCTTACTCTGCTTAGAAGGTTAGGGTAGGATAATGGTAATCATACTTTAGGACAGTGCAGCGCTAAGATTAGAAAATATTTCTCGGTTAGGTTACAGGCTAAGAACAAAGCTTACCGTGCACATATATACACCTGAGTCACCTAACGGATCATAATCTAATAAATTTCTGGTTTATACATGAAAACTATCGTGAGTTTTCATTAGTATCAATAGCAATTAGAAGATCAAATGCCATAACGGCGACTGATGCTTTGTTAAAAAGATGATTAAGTCATCTGGATTGACTATTTGCTCAAACATAAACATGTTTATCACCTAGTCAAATTGATAATATATTATTTATGTGTTCATGTGGTAAATTCAAGAGTAAGCAGTGAAAATAAAACTTATCCATTCTCTTTGTCATGTATTTATAATGATTAAATTATCATTGCAATATCCTTATTTTGTCCTCTAATTCTTTTGATCACTTTAGAGGGATGCCAGTGTTTTTGCTCATTTAATTTCTCCTGGAACGGTTTGGTGAAAAATAAACATGAGAAGAGATAAGCACAAAGAATCTCAATTTATAGATGTAGTCTAATGAATAAATAGTGAAAATATATCCGTATTCTAAAGAATATTCCAAAAGCTTCGATCTCTCAGTAAATCGATGATATGTATGAGAAACCTATACATAGTGAATTGATCGAAATATATACTTTTGTTGACGAAAATCATGGCTATCATCTGAAAAGAAGACACTTCGAAATGCATAAATGTGGTCCAATATTACGGTTATTTTACTGATCTGAAGTAAATATTTTTATCTTATATTTATTGAGAAAAATTATATAATGTTTGTTTCATTATAGCTATATGACTTTTGTCTGCATAGATTTTATATAAGAATTATCATTTTAATTGAAAAACATTCATCATATTTGCTGATTATGATTGTAATTTTGTAATGCTATTCCTATTGTGAAAGGCATTCATATATACTGTCTGAATTTATGAAGTTTACTGCTTCCAATTCATTCTATTATATGTCAGTTTCTTTGATTTATCTTTCTGACAGTTTTATTTAGTAAATTAACCATAACACTGGACGACAACAATCCATTTTGAAGCGTCTTTTTTTCAGATGATAACGCTAATCTTTCTCTACAAAATTATATATTCCGATCAATTACCTATGCTTAGATTTCTCATACATATCATCGATTTACTGAGACGGGTCGAAAATTTTAGGATACCCTTTGTGAGAAAATAATAAACTGAAATTGCAATGAATTATAATGTACAATTGAATGTATTTGAATTAAAATATCATGTTGAAGGTTTCAAATAAAATTTAATAATCATTTTTCGAAACGTTGATTTTTTTTTCTTGCTTTTTTAATGATTGCCTAGGTTTTATTTGTACTATATTGGCATGAATAACATTCTCTGCGTCGATTATTTGTTAAAGAAACAAGAGAGTTGCACAAACACGAATGCATTTCATAATCTACGGAAAATATGACCTCTCTTCCTCCTCTTCCCCAACTCTGAATTTGAGAATTTATCAGATCCACTGCAATGCAGATGTGCATGCTGATTACAAAGTACTCTCAACCACAAACTAGCTCATATCGACACCCACACCCACACCCCACCCTTATCCTACACGCCACAACCGCATCCATATCTACAACCAGTCTACCCACAAATTTCATCCTAGTGAAAATGCTTATTAGGCGAGTACGACTTGCCAGAACGAGTACTTCAGAAATGTTATGTGTAATGATGCTTTTCGTATGGACTAGGGAGAACTGATATGAGTTGTTTCTGTAAGATTTACTTGTAGATGAACGCGTGAATACTCCATATAGTTTTAAAAAGATAAAATGATGTAATAAAATGCAAAAATGGAAAAGAACTATTTTGAGGACTAGTGTATTTTCTTCTCTATTGTTTTCGAATAAATCATTCATATTGCTTCAATGAATGGTTATTTAAAGAATAGAGGGGTCATTTATTACTAATATATCTTTATTGATATTATACTATTCTCAATACGAATTTTTATTCAGCATTTCTTTATTTTTTGAAGATAAAAAAATTTATCTCCAACCATAACGTAGTATCTTTACTTCTCAAATTTTCATAATGTACGTCTTTGTTTTACTATTATTTTAATTAAATAAAATAAATACAGTACAGCAATACTACACAGATTATAGGCCTAGGAGTATTTTACAAGAAAACCATTAGATTACAGAAAAACTGTACCATGATTATTCATGAAAAAACTCAACTTTACAATACAAGCACTCGATCATTGTATTCAGATATTCAGATTTTATCATAAGTACTCTTCTGATGAGTTTTTACACTTGTACACATTCACACTCTGATTTCTTCCTTGTGTTCATCTTTTCGGTTTTCATTTCACGTCGTATCTCGTATTCATAAAAAGTTCTCATCATTGTCAAGAATGCATCATAGAGATCGTTCTTTAATCGATTTCTTTGTTCTGCGGAACAAAGAGTTGGTCCTTCAATATTCTCTGATAACAGATACTCTTATATACCGTTCGACAAAGAAAAGATGGGGCTACCAGCTGATCATAAAGTATTCAGTTCAACACGTTTCTGTTCTCTCAAAAAAGAACCTGACATTTTTATAAAAACTTCTGAATTGTATGTAAGTCTTTATATGAATGGGTTCTTATCGATATTAATAGTTGATGAAACATACTTTCAATGTTGTTTCTTTCTTATAAAAATTTAAAAACAAATAAAAAACAAACTATCTATAAAGAGAAATGATATGATTTTAGATTACTGGATTAATGGCTGGATGTATGCCTCTTGATTCTATGCGTCAATCAACTCTCGAATGTTTATATAATCAATCATGTATAGATGCAATATCACTTCAACCAAAAATTTTTCGACCAAAAGCTTTGAATGCATCGTTATCAACATTTCCGTTGAATTCAACAATAGGTTCACTATTCGATGAATCTTTATTTGTTGAAATTTGGAAAAATCAATCTAGCTTTGAAAATTATTTCACTGCTTGTCAACCCCAATCTCTCTTTTACAGTTATGAAAGTCGATTTCATCTTGATACAATTATTACTATGAGTCTTAATGCCTTCGGTGGTCTTGTTACTGCTTGGGAGTTAATTACACCAGCTATTGTCATAATTTGGCAACGAATAAAATGGAAAAAACAACAAAGTCAACGATTTACAACTGCAGAGACAACATGTGTAGAATTAGAACTTATGAAAATGGCACCAAAACCAATCAATAAAGGTTAATAATATATAACTAGCCATTAAACACGCAAATCGTATCTTATTCATAAACGATAATAATTAGAACATTTATTCAAACCGACCATATGAATTTAGTAGATCATACCTTAAACACATGAGCTCCTAGAAAAAAAAATTGAATATTACATCAAAAAAATATTGTCCATTAAAATTTTCTTTTTTTTAAAGATTCTCGATTAGACATGTGCAGAACCGTTTTTTTGGTCCCGCACATCTGTATTCCCAATAATACATAAATTGAAGAGTGTATTTTTTTCAGCAAACAAAATCTGAAATATGAACTATTTTTCACTATTTCATGTGAAAATAACTTTCCTCTTCAAGTATTGAGTTTTATTTGCCCATACTATTCATGTTTAATATAAATTATTGATATTCTTTGATTAGTGTCAGATAAAAGCAAAAAAGCAAAAAACCGTTGAACTAATCATTAGTTAGGTTTTATGTTTGACATATATAGAAAAAGATTTAATCTGATGTCATATATGTAGTTATTCTTTTATTTTGTGCATACTTCACGTTTGTTACTGCTTCCAAACAACATTGTTCACTTTGATATTATTATTGAAATTTCAAGGAATAATGCTCAAAAAGTCTAATATATCCTTGTGAAATTTAGTATTGATTTTCGATAAGGTTTGATCAAATACGAGAAAGTTAGAAAAGAAAACTTTGCCTTTCAGCTCTCTTATGGTATGTACTTCTACTTGTAGACAGTTTCATTAAAATGACATCTCGTCTAACGTAAGACTACAAAAAGCTGTAGCTCTAGGTAGAAAATCAGACTGACTTAGAGCTCTTTCGCTTGATTGCTTGAACTCGGTATACATACTAGCAAATTACATACTAATTAGTCACAAGTGCCAATGTATGCCTTTATGTAGTTAGCGTGCTACTTGGCCAGTAATCTGAGACAAACAGCTCTTCCTGACTTGATGCTACACAACCTGACCATTCAACTATATCGATTGGATGACACTGATGTATTAAAATATACGTTTCCAATTATTTTTGTTTGCTGTAGAGTCTTCAATAAAAGCAGTAGAAGTTTTTTTTTTCTTATAGCTGTAACTGTTCACGTTCGTCGAACAATTCATAATTTTAACTTGTTTCCGTCAAATAATAAACAAGATCCTGAGGAAGAACGTATTGGTATCATCGCTACTCGTTTTTACATTATCTTAATAATTATCGGTCTTATAATTCTTGGTTTTTATACAGCTCTATTAAAACATAGTCAAACACATACTGTTAAAGAACCTTCACTTTCGAAATTTGAAGAATTACATTCAATGTATGCATCAACATTAAATTGTCCATGTTCACGGTTTTCAATGTCACATAGTCGAATAATGTCTCTTAGACCTCGTTACCATTCAATATGTTCAAGTGAATTTGTTGAAGATTATTGGTTAGCTTACTTTGCTGATGTAGAAAAAGATGTTCACGCTGTTGAACTTGTATCATCTGATTTTCGAGTTATTGGTCAAGCATTTTTTGAATTAATGCGTACATTATGTAAAACATCAAATGAAACAATTGAAAATGCGTTAAAAGTATTTGGATCGAATCGATTAGTTACCATGTATGTCTTATCACGTACACAATTTAATATTGAAACGATGACACGTTTAAAACGATTTGAACAACAAACAATAAGTTCTCTTGTCAATCTAATTCAATTAATACGTTCATCAATTAAAACCAATCAAGTAGTTGAAGGAATGTTTACAAATGCAGGACCTAAATCAAAATATGATAATGAAACATCAAAATGGTCATTTTCTTACGGACCGAGAAATTATTATACAAATTCATGTTCATGTGCTGTATCTGATGAATGTAGTCGTCCAGTTGGTTTTCATTTTCAAAAAAGTACAAGTGCTGATACACCTAATATAACTATACCCGGTTTACTTTTTGGTTGTTATGCAATTGATTTCGTTCTTTTATCTACATTAGAATGTTTATATGAGAAAAATTGTGTCAAACTTCTTGTTGATAACTACTATTTTGATGTTGTTGGTTTATTTAAACCACTGAACAGTCGTGCTGTTCAAATACAACCACTTCCGCATGGAAATAGTCGTTTTTATCCAAATACGATAATAAATAAAATTGTCTCGGAAGCATTCGTAGAAGATTGGATTAACTCAACTAATTATACGTCATATTATGAACGATGCGCACCTTCACAATGCACTTATACTATACAGAAACGTTTGAATATTGATATCTTCGCTAAACCGCTTGGATTTTATGGAGGATTAAGTGTAATTTTAGAAATAATCTTACCATCACTTGTTAGAATAGTTTTACAACAATGGCCGAAACGCAAACAAGAAACAAAACCAACTGCTATTCCTAACGATCTTACAATGGGTAAGATAATGACTATTATTTTATTCCATTCAACAGAAATAATACATCGGTAATGTCCTATGAATAAAAGATTCTTAGGAAAAGACGCATATTAATTAAACTTCAATAGAAACTTCGAAGAAATGATTCAAAGACGTGGTTGCATAAACCTTTGAATGGCAAAAATTAGGTATTCTAAGGAATATGAACTCCTTCAAAGGCTAAAATATTTCTTATTTATCTTAATAGGAGATATCTTTTGTGTTTGGAGAGTAATAAATCTAAAATTACTCATTTTCGTAGAAAAACGTGTCTAATACTTTAACATCTAAAAGAAATCGTTCGGAAATATTGATCCACTTGAACGTACTGAAAAGCAATGAATCTTCCTTTGAGTAGAGTACAGTTATTGTTGATTATATGAGATCTTTTGTGAAGACCAACTTTGTAAATTAGAAAATATTTGATTCTATTTATTTAATGATTTTAAAGAAGTTTCTCATGTGACGAAAATCGACAGTTTTATTGCTCCGGTTACCAACTCCCATTACTGTGGTCCATAGGCGGCGCAGGATTTTTTGAATATGTTAGATCTCGGTTTCAGAGCATGGGATCCAGATGAAATTTATGGAGGATGATATTGAGCCTAAATGATGAGTTTTTTTCAAAAAATTTTTGCGATCGAAGTTTGCGAAAAAATTTTTAAAAATCTTATTGCTACCCCTAAAATTTTTTTTGTTTTTTTGTAGTATTCCAGTTTTTTAAATTCAGTCGTAATCTACGTCGAATTTTATCGACAGATTTCAAATTTCACCTAAAAATATGCATCCGTTCAGGAGTTAT